GTCTATTTAACACAAAGAGAAACAGACAGACTCTCTTAAAAAATAATATTTAGCATGAAATGACTAATGCAATAGGAATAGGTCTGGGGCATTTTACTGAAAGTAAAGGAAGACGAGGGTTTTCAAGGGAAAAACAAGGAGGGTTACATGAGTTGTAGAGAAAAAAATCCTCCTTGGCTACCAGGATCAACACCAGGGCGGGCCGGGCGTGGTGGCTCAGCCCTGTAATCCTAGCACTCTGGGAGGCCGAGGCCGGAGGATTGCTCAAGGTCAGGAGTTTAAAACCAGCCTGAGCAAGAGCAACGACCCGTGCTTTATTAATAAATAGAAGAAACTAATTGGCCACCTAAAATAGTATATATAATATATATATATCATAACAGATATATATCTTCTATATATATAATTACAACCAGGCTGGTCTGTCTGTCGTCCAGCTACTCAGGAGGATGGAGGCAGGAGAATGGTTGGAGCCTGGAGTTTGAGGTTGCTGTGGCTCAGCTGTGCCATGGCACTTAGGGGTGGTCTGTCTCCCACACACAAAATAAACATGGCCAGGGTGGCCTCTATCATCTTATTCCTTCTTCCGCCTTAAATCCACATATCCACTGTGCTTTTAGTTCTTTCCCAGGGCCCCACTGAGAAATACCCACAGACTCTGTCGCACCTTACTTCTCTTGTGTCATTGTGACTGATTTCTTCCAGAGAAGCCCGGCCTGAGTTCCTATACATCACATCTCACGTGTCCTCTGTTCCGCATGAAGGAGACACAAAGCTGCGTGGTTTTTGAACATTGATTGCATACAGAAATTTCTATTCTCGTTTCCTAGCGTGACACCACTGTTCTTAGAAAGCTGTTCGAACTATGCAAATAATTTTGACGCGACCAAAATCTCCTAGCAACAATATTTTCAGGTTCTGTTTTTTCTGTCTAATGTGAGCGACAAGTTAAACCTCTTTCTGTCTCCCATCAGGACTGTGATGCCCACATAGTAGTAAAACTCCATCGATGTATGTAGACTCTCTGAAGGAATGAATTCTTTGTTTTGTATTGTTTTTTTTATGAGCCAGAGTCCTGCTTTCTTGCCCAGGCTATAGTGAGTGCCATGGCACCAGCCTAGCTCACAGCAACCTCAAACTCTGGGGCTCAAGCAATCCTGCTGCCTAATCCTGCGGAGTAGTGGGACTACAGGCATGTGCCACTATGCCTGGCTAATTTTTTCTATATATATTAGTTGGCCCATTAATTTCCTTTTATTTATAGTTGAGACGGGGTCTCCCTCTTGCTCAGGCTGGTTTGAAACTCCTGACCTTGAGCAATCCGCCCACCTCGGCCTCCCAGAGTGCTAGGATGACAGGATTGAGCCACTCCACCAGGCCAGGAATGAATTCTCCACTTTCATCCTATCCCTAATTCTTTCAAGTTCATGATTGGATATCTGCTTCTATCAATCAATATGGAGAAATCCAAAAAGTCCATCAGGGGGAGCTGGGTGGAGCTTCAAGTATCTCATCAAATACCACATTCTGATTGGAAGCTGGCAGTTGAAAAGGGGAAGAGTGACTGGAAAGGTCAATGTTAGCTCCTAAAGATCCATACAGAGTCCCAAAGCCCTGCAGACTGCTTCCAGATTTGGTACGTTAGACACCTCCATAGGGACAGTCCCATGTGATCTACAGTCAGCCAGTCTCAGATAAGGGAGCTCTAGATGACACAGAGAAGTACCCAGTCTTTTTCCTTTCAATGCAGTCTTGTCTTCATTGCAAAAATTCTGATTCATGATTTGCTTTACCTCACTTTGAACTTCTTTTCTTTTTCTTTTATTTTTATTTCAGAATATTATGGGGGTTGAATGGGGAAAGAAGGGTCTTCCTTTGGCCTGAACTCAAACTCCTGGCCTCAAACTGTCCTGCCTCAGCCTCTCAAAGTGTTGATTTTGGCTTGAGTCACAGTGCCCAGGCAAGATATCCTTCTAGTAATCCCCAGCCAGATTGTGTGAACTGAGATCCCATGGTTCTAGAGATTAGGAATTTCTTCTCCAAAAGGGTGGAGGCTAGCTCTCAGTCTGCTCAGTCACATTTCCCATGGCACTGGGATTTAGTGGAGCACTGGGGGAAACTCAGAGGGGCAGTGGTCAAGCCGTCCTCTCCTTGGTAGTTAAGAGACAGTCCTCCTGGTGCCAGAGCTACAGCTTCGTTGCCATGGAGTGTAAATAAACTTCAATTGGGAAACTGTGGACTGATTCCCCCACTCCCACAGCAGGGACAGCAGCCCTAGGAGAAGGTGGGGTGATCACAACTGGACTGAAAGCATGCATTTTCTATGGATTTATCATGAGGACTTTTCACTTGCAGATTTTGATCAGGATGAGCCTCCAGGCCCCACCCAGACTCCTGCAACTGGCGGGGCAGAGCCTGCTGAGGGACGAGGCTGTGGCCATCCCTGCTGTAAAGGAGCTGCCAAGGGAGCTCTTCCCACAACTATTCATGGAGGCCTTCACCAAGAGACAGAGGAAAGTCCTGACAGCCATGGTGCAGGCCTGGCCCTTCATCTGCCTGCCTCTGGGGTCCCTGATGTTGACCCCTGAGCTGGAGACCCTAAGAGCTGTGCTGGATGGGCTGGATGTGCTGCTGGCCCAGAAGGTTCGCCCCAGGTGAGGCTGACCCAGGGAGCCTTGTAGGGAGGGCACAGGGTTCTGGGCACAGACAGCTGGGTCAGGGAGAGTGGGGGCCCAAGGGTGGACCAGAGGCTCCTGGTGGTGCCAGTGAGGAAGCTCAGAGACCTGCCCATTGCTGAGCCCACTCTGGGAAAGAGCCCCTGGGAGGCTGGGACTGCTCACCGAGGAGCGATCCCAAAGGAGAATGAACCTGCTTCTTCCGGTGTCACTAAAAGGCAAGAGAAACAGACATTGGAATAGATTTAGTCTGGGAAAGGGCATGGAGCAATGAAGAGGGCAAAGAAGCAAAGACGGGAGTGGTTGAAGTCTGGGGTGGGGAATGAAGGCTCAGGTCGCATCGGTCTTTGCCTAAATCTGAGACTCTCCTGTGTTTTGCCCACAGTGGGTGGAAGCTGCAAGTGCTGGATTTACGGGAAGTTGATGAGAACTTCTGGAGTGTGTGGTCTGGAGCCCCTGTGAGTTCCTCACTGGCCATGAGTCAGAGGCAAACAGGGGAGGACTGTCCATGCACAGGAAGGCAGGGATGCCTGAAGGTGGTAGTAGATTTCTGTTTTGGCTTCCCCGACATTGTCCTACAGGAATTTCTCATGCATGTCTGTGAATGGGCCCAGCAGAGGAAGGAGTTAGTACACCTGTGCTGTAAGCAGTTGGTCCTTTCTGTAAGGTACGTCAATGAAGTCAGAAAGTTTTTAGAAATGATGGACCTGAACTGTATCCAGGACATTGAAGTGCACACCTACCGGGAGATGGATAGTCTAGAACAATTTCTCCCTTATCTTATCCAAATGAAGAATGTTCGGAAAATCATGTTCCGCCACTTCCCCGGGTGTATCTACTGTTCACCAAGGATAGGGGCAGAGATCATGTGGGAACTGATCTCTACATTCCGCAAGCTGGACAAGCTCCAGAAGCTTCACCTGGACATGGTGAATTTCTTCAAGAACCATCTGCAGCAGTTAGTCAGGTGAGCAAGGACGGTGAGCTTGCTCTGCAGAGCAGACCAGAGCTTCCCTTGTGACAGTAAGCACTAAAGGACATTGACTCTGTGCCAGTAACTAGGTATATAACAGCGAAGGACACACAGGATGTCAAAACCTTGTTGTGTTCACTTCTCTGTCCTGAAGCAGATGTCACATGACCTCCCCAGTGAATGCAGAGGGTTGAGCTGGGGTAGAGGCTGCTCAGAGGGACACTGCTGGACAGCGAGCTACAGGGGGCTCTGACACAGTGAGGGCGAGTTTGAGAGTTACTCTTTATGAATGTGACTAAGTGGATATGCTGAGAAAAAAGTTACACCAAGGTTATTGAAGCAAGATAGGACAGCCCCACCTGGGCTGTGCACACACAAGCTACATTCCCGCCAGCGTAGCGAACGCCATCCTGTCTGTGACTGCCCATCTGTCACAGGATGTCTGAGCACAGGAAAGGTGATTAACATGGGAAACACATGCTTGTGGAACAGAGGGTGAGGGAGCAGGACTCAAGAAGTGTAAAAGGGGTTTGCTGATGACACAGGCGTGTCAGTGAGCCCGCAGGCCGGGAATCCCAGCTGCTGTTCCTGGATCTTGTCCTGCCTTTTCCTTTAAGCGTGTCTCCCAGTGGGCTCATGTAGCCCAGAGGCGTGGTTCGCTGCCAACAGGAGGGCACAGCTTTAGAGGTTCTGTGGGCTTGACCCAGGGGCACAAGTGATGGTGGGAGGAGTCAGCCTACAGTGGGACAGACCAGAATGAGCAGAGTCTTGCACACAGCACCCTTGGTGTTGGCCATCATGAGGCGATGAACGCTAGCTTGTGTTTGGGTGACACATTATACTATCCTGAGCTGCTTCGCCACCACTGCTATTTCCAGGACTAAGTGCTCTCTCTCCCCAGGTTCCTCAAGAACCCCTTGGTATCCTTCACAATAACTGGGTGCTGGATTTCAGAATCACAAATGGACCGCCTGTTCCTGTCCCCAAGCATTCATCAGCTAAAGGAGCTGGACCTGACTGGCACCATACTGAGCGATTTCAATCCTGAGCCCTTCCAAATTCTACTAGAGGAAGTTGCAGCCACCCTGGAGGTCCTGATCTTGGAGGACTGTTGGATCACAGACTCCCAGTTGAATGTCATCCTGCCTGCCTTGAGCCGCTGCCACCAGATCATCAGCTTCAACTTCTGTGGGAACCAAATCTCAAAGTCTGTCCTAGAGAACCTGTTGCGCCACACTGTCAGGCTGGAAAGGTTAAACTCAGTGATATTCCCTGTCCCCCTTGAGTGTTACGGTGATAATTTTGACCATATCTACTGGGAGAGATTTGTCCAGCTTCGGGCTTGGCTAATGGAGATACTGAGGGAAACTCAGGCCTTGAGGAAGCCCGAGGTCATTCTCCTCTGTACCCTGCCCTGTCTTACCTGTGGCAGCAGGGCATCCTATGACCTGGAGCCCAGTCCATGCAGCTGTGGGAAGCTTGGAAGGGAACCATGAGAAGTGTGGCAATGATTCTAAGGAAAGAGCCAGATATAAAGAGAACATGAACTTAAAAACATGAGCTTAAATTTTCTTGTGTCTTCTGTGATCAATTAACATGCTTTTCAGTTTGAATCTCAGGGATCTCCAGTTACTGATGTAGGGAACAGAGGCACTTCAGAGTCTGATCGATGAGGTTCCACTCCGGGAACAGAAGCTATGAAAATGAAATTGTTCTTATTTTGAGGGATTCCCTCCTTTAACCTCTTCCTGGATATCTGTTATGCCCTTGTCTATTCTTGTGCTGTCTGGTGGGATAATACACAAAATACGCACGCCCGGGGTCAGGAACATCCTCTGTGGGAGTGAGCCTGAGCAACTAGACTAAAGCCCCTTCTTCCCAGGGTCCGTCACTGCTAACCAATCTGGAACCCAGTCAACCCCAGGGAAAGCAACAAAATTCCAAAAGTGCCGGCCAATCCAAGAAAAGAAGTCAACAAAAAAAAGGGACCCCTGCCCTGGAAAGGGACATCCATGCTGTGTGTTGCCTGGAGTGTCAGGGAACCGCCAGCCCATGCCTGACTTAGGATTGGGAGGCCACAGTGTTTTCTGAACTAGAGTCAGAGCCAGTAAAGACACTCATGTTGTCTTAAGAAAAGCTAAAATCATTTAGGCCTGTAGCGCATTTTAAAACCATCCATCACACATTAAAACAACTCACATCCCCTTACACAGCCAAGCCATATTCATGAGAGAACTTTCTACAACATCCCCTATCGAGGAAGTCTGACAGGACGGGTTGTGATACTGGCATAGCATCAGGATGAGTAATGGTCAGTACCTGTGAGTAATGGAGACACACCCTGAAGTGAGGGACCCTTCGGAAGGGGCCACGGGAAGGACCCCGCTGAAGACCCAGGAGCCAGTGTTGTTGGGCACAGACCTTAGGCATGAGCTTTAGTTTCTTTAAGGTGCTGGTGATGAACATGTTCCCCGGCTTATGGGACCCTTGAAGGACCCAATGAAACCGTGCATGTTTAGGGCTCCGCAGGGGGACTGCTGTATAGTAGGAGCTCTAAATCCATCTATTTCTGGTTTTCCTCGTGTGAGAAACCCCCAACAGTATTCATCCTTCTATCTCACCATCTATTTCTGATGACAGAGACAAGATCAGGAACACAAGGCACTGGTGGGACTGAGCTTTTCCATGTGACCACCACTTCATCACGGTTCTCCCAAACAGTAGAGTTTCAGCTGCCAAGAGAGGGTGTAGTAGAGGGAGAAGACTGGATTTGTCCTTAGCTAGCGATCATGACATACCTTTCTAAGCTGAGACCCAACACAGTTGCTCAGGCCTGTAATCCTAGCACTGTGGGAGGTCAAGGTAGAAGGATCCCCTGAGCTCAGGAGTTGGAGACCAGCTTGAGCAAGAGGGACACCCCGTGTCTAGTAAAAATAGTAAACTTTAGCCTGATGTTGTGGTGCACGGCTATAGTCCCAGCTACTCGGGAGGCTTAGGCAAGAAGATAACTTCAGCCCAGGAGTTGCAGGTGGCTCTGGGCTCGATTGAGGACATGGCACTCTACCCCGGGCATGGAGACATCTGCAGCGTCTCTACTAGTGTTAAGGTGCAACAAAGAATGCTTCATATCACATCCTCTGGCTCAAGAGGTGGAGAGATACTTTTCCTTTCATAGAGCTCCTATACCTCTCCACACCTCTATATTTTTTGAAGAGTATGGCATGCAAGGTCAAAGCAAAGAACATACAGATAGAATGTTTGGAAAGGACATATATATAAAATCTCTGGTGCCCACATGTACTCACCAGCAAATTGGTATTAAGGGATCAACACCTAAGTGGACATATAGGAGTAACATTTATCTGGTGTCGGGAGGGGGGAGGAGGGCATGCGTGTATACAACCACAATGAGGAAGATGTGCAACATTTGGGGGATGGACACGCATTAAGCTCTTACTCAAGAGGTTAGGGGGCATGGGCAATAGATGTAACCTTAACACTTGTACCCCCATAATACGCTAAAATAAAACAAAAATCTCTGGTGCCAGTAAACACGTTATTGTAAAGAAATCCAGTTAGTGACATGCAATACATCCATGTCTGTCATGAGA